GGTAATTGGCTGTTTTTATGGCCACGAGAGTTGACTTTGAAGTGCTCCCTCTCTCTCTCTCACTCTCTCTCTCTCTCTCTTTCTCTTTCACTGTCAGCTTCCTTCCTTCCTGGCTTCCTGTTTGCTGCTATCGCTAATTATAAAATCACCTTAAGTAGCTGCAAGCACACACATAAATATATACATACAAATACATGTGTATGTAGGCAGGTAGGAGTGCAGTTGAGGACGCCCCCGCTGCAGTTGCCAGACGCAAAGATACGACGCATATTGCAGCACTGGCGAGGAGACAAAACCTACGAGAACCAATAAACAAATAGACAGACAGAGCTGGGAGCAGCAGAAGCAATCGAATAGCGACTGATGGACCAAAAGAGCGTTGAAGCGGGATGGGGGAGCGGGGAGTGGGGAGTGGGAGCAGCAGCAGTAGACACAGCGAACACAGAGACTTGAAAAACTTTTTTAATATGAAAGAAACCGGCAACAGAAAAATAAAAAGACAAGCGACAAACTGCAAGTCTGAGCTGAGGATTTGCACTGTGGATAAATTCCACAATATTTTGTTCAATTTCAATTTACTGCCTAAGCCTAAGCCTAAGCTTCCTTTTGGTAACCCCATACGAATTAATTATAATTATATGCGTAATTTCGAAAAACAACAACAAACAATAACTCTTCGAATTTTTTCAAATGCTAATTTTCAATTGCAATTTTCTTAATTATTAATCCAGTTTTTTAAATAGGACCAAAAAAGCGAATAAAATTGCGGATTTCTTCTTTCTCACTTTTTTTTTTTAAGTATTCCACCTAATTATCAACGAATAAAAGGAAATTTACTTTTTACTTTTTTTTTGCTTAAGTCAATTATAAATTGTGCGTTTTTTTTATATTTACATTTTAGTTTTCCAGTTAAAGGCATTTAATGTTTGTATTATTTGATGGATTAAAGGGTCTGTATACATATACATATTTGACCAAAGACAGGTTTTTAAAGAACACTTGAAGCACACTGGCATCGATATCTCAGTTGCACTGTTCGCCCGATGGCCGATGGGGCCCACTGTGTGCTGCCAGAGCGTCTGGTTGCTCACTGTGACAACTGGAAGACATCCGATGGGTGGGTGAGGAAGGTGGGCATGGATGGAAGGCATACATACTTACAAACACACACACATACGTACATATATATATATATTTTATTTTCTTGTTCCATTTAAAAAGCTTATTTATTGACGCTGATTGGAATCTAGTCATCTATCTGTGCGTTTTAGTTGCACTGCACACAGCGCCAAAGTCGCCAGCATACTTAACGGCTGCAAGAGTGGGTGAGATGGGTGAAGGGGGAGGGGGTGGGGTAGCAGAAGGTGATATTGTTCCCAGTCAGCTTGCCGCCCGTGTCTGCGTCACATCTTTCTGCCTTTCGCATGCTTGCAGCTCAAGCAATAAAATCGAGATGCAATTGCAACAAAAGCAACAACAACAAGAAAAGTGCTTTTTAGAAAAGACAAACAAAATGTTGAGATAAACATTGACCAAAAAAAGAATGAGAAATAAAAAACTGACCTGTTGTCCAGTGCAGGGTGGTGGGGCGATCGGGCGGGGGATGTTTAGTGGCTCGCTTTTGTGAGTTGTGACTTTTAACCGTTTTACTTGTAAGCGACATTCGTGTGAAACGTCGCATGTTGTGCCAATTGAAAATGTGTGCAACTCTGCACTCAGCAAACAAAATTAGCCTGCCACATTATTGATATCGCCAATGAGGTGCAAGATAGAAAGAGAGAGAGAGTGATAGAGAGAGTGATAGAGAGAGAGAGGGAGAGAGAGAGGGAGAGAGAGAGGACAAGTAAATAGAGGAGACGAGATGCGAGTTCAGTTCAGTTTGAGGTTGAGGTTGACCTAATGTTGCATTGGGGCCGAAAGGCGGCATAATCGAGATATCTTGCCACCAGCCCAAAAGAGCCAAACAACAGTGCAAAACGGCCAACAACAAAAAAACAAACAAAACAAGTAAGAATGCTGTAAGCTAACAAGCTCGATCAGGAGATACCCTGCTCAGATCAAAAATTATATTTTGTTTTAAGTTAGTTAGTATTATTATCGAGTGAATGCAAGCAAAATAAATCGCTGAAATGAAATGAAAATAAGATCAAGAATGTGTATATCTTATGTCGTTGGAGATGGAGATGCTTACCTCTGTCTCTTGCATACTTCGGAACAACTTCAATGAACCCAATTTACCCACTTGCAATGGGTATAAAAACAACCAGAACAAACTGAACAAAACAACGACAAAACAAACAGAGACTGTCACTGGTCCGTTTACGCCTGGACATTATGAGCAGAGAGCACAAAGGCGCCTTTTGTGCCCCAGCACTCGAGAACAAAATCAAAATCAAAATCCGAAATTCAAACAGCAACACAATGCAATTTTCATTGAGCGCCAAAAGTTTCGAGCAGTTTGCAAGTGTTTGTTGCAGATGCTGAGTCAGCCACAGAGGCACACACACACACACAGACACACTCACTCTGTTCCGACTGACCACGCCCACTGCCAGCAAGGTAATAAAGCAAAAGTTCTGATAACGCATGAACCCACACACACACACACACACACACACACAGAGCCAACCAACGAATCCAGCTGAAGAGCCATTCAGCTGCCCCACAACAAAGGAAGCGGAAATGAGATCGCCCAACCCCAGTGCATAAGCATATCTGTGTGTGTGTGTGTGTGTGCGTGTGTGTGCGTGGCTTGATATTTAAACAGAGAGTTGGCTGTGAAACTGAATGGCTTGCTACTAGTGGCAAATAGCAACGGCAACAGCAAAAACGACGACAACAAATAATCAACCGTTTAATGGGCGGCATCAATTTCAGTTAATTGGTTGCAACTTGTGAGACAAGCGAGTGTGCAAGATTGACAGAGACGGAAGATGATGTAGACAAATAGCACTGACATTCGATGCCACACGAATTCACTATTATTACTATTACATATATCTATATATATATATATATATCACTTCATTTGTGTAGAGCTTTCTAAAAACCTTGGGAAACTTTTGATTGCAAACTTATCATGCATAAATCGTGATTAACATACAGCTTTTGGCACGCCGAATATTAAATACTCTTGCAGCCCATTGGGTTAGTCTGCTCACATCTAAAAGTTTATAATTAATCCAACAAAAATAAAAATAGAAAAGAAAATTCGAACGATTAGTAGAACGATCGTTGTGCGATTTTTATAGTGTTTTAATATTCGTTTGTTTTGTTTTGCTGAATTTGTTGTTTCTAATTGTTGACAAATATGATGTGCATATAAAATTAATGTATTTTATCTGCAGATCTTGGCAAGCAAATCAGTTGTTCATTTGGCAACTATATGATCAGATCCAGATGGTTCCGACATATAAATTTAAAGATTCTCATTTGTTTTGTGTTTATATTTTATCACATCTTTCAATATTTACTTATCTTCAGTGTTGACTGCTTGTGTTCAAATCTAATCATTTATTAACTGTACTTTTAATGTTGTGTCTACTACTATAATTTTGTATAATTTCCAAGATAGAAGACGTCGGCTGACAATCCGAAATAAGTATAAATCTTTATGCCAAGTCAAGATCAAGAAAACTGTTTTAATTCTGCTAAAGTTTGTCTTGATCACTTCGATCGATAGTTCCCATAGAATCTTATATGCAAATTATTCGGCTGTCTGAAAAATCGTCAAAAAATATATACAAATGGGAAAATAGAAATTATTAACATGAAAATATAGATTATGAACAAAAAATAGCCCCACTTTGACTATTATAATTACACTTGTTTTTTAGTTAATTTTTCATAAAGTTTTTTGTATATGTTTATTGCATATATTTATTGATGCTCCTTATAAGTTTGACATGTTGAGGAAGTGCGTGAGAATTTCAACAATTAACGCATGGTTCGATTGTGGATTGTGGCGTTTAATGCCACGCCCACACGAGAGAAAGACACGCCCAAAGGTGAATCTCGCAGCGAGCTAATTGCATACAACAAAGCAAACAAAGCCAAACAGCCGAAAGTGAAACGCTTAGCAGTGAAATGCAGCCAAAGCAACAACAACAACAACAAGAATAGCAAAAGCAAGAGCAACAGCAACAGCAACAGATAAGCAGCATAAATGAAGCCATCGCATCATGTTGTAATTACGTGCTTGTCTTTCTCTCCCTATCCCTATCCCGTACTCGCATTCTCGCATTCTCTCGTTCTCTCATCCCCATATCTCCATATCGGTTTGGTTCAAAATTGATGATTTTCATTAACGACAAGTTAATAACTTAGGCCGCCATCCTCGCCAGCCGTTTGGCGACTTCATTATCGATAGCAATCGAAAGGCAAACAAACAGAAGAAACAAAATGAGAAGAAGCTGCTGAGGAAACAGCAGGCAGAAGGGAGAAGGCAGAAGAGAGAAGAGGCTGCATTTGGTGTTGTTTTGATTTGGCAGTGTGGTCATCATTCCAAAACCAATAAACAACAAACAACAAGCAACAATCAGCAACGACAGCAGCAGTAGCTGTCGCATATGCTACAAAATGTGTCGCCAAGTGGGCAATAAAAGATTTGCATTGCCATGCGAAAGGCAAAAGCAACAAATGTTGCCAGAAGCAATAACAACAACAACCACCTGCAAGCAGCAATGTTGCCAAGCGCCAACAACTGCGCAAGGCAAACAATGAGAGCGACTACAAGAGCGAACGCAACGCGAGACAGAGAGCGAGAGAGAGAGAGTGTGTGTGTGTGGTGAGTTGACAGTCAAGACCAAAAATAGGCACAGCAACAATGTGGATGGCAACATATGTTGCCGAACACTCATACACACAGCCTCACAAGCAACTGCAGACGCGATCAAACGCTGCAACACACACACACACACACGCACCGACACACCGACTTCTCGTGGCTGGCGCGCGCGCATTTTGTGCACAACGAACACAGTCGACTGTTAACTGGCAGGCCGACTTGACGTGAAAAACGAAGACTCAACCGAGCGACGACGACGACAACGACGCGATTCGCGCGCGATTTAAAACACTAGCAGAGAAACGATTGCGCGCGCTGCTCAAAGAAAAAAGAAAACCACATAAAATATAATTCGTGATTGTTTCAAGTATTTTTGTTCTTGTTTTTGTTTGTTTTGTGTGCTTTTGTGCAATTTGTGTGTGGGTGAAAAGTGCTTAGCCATGCAACACTGGCGCCAGCAACTCTTTCTACTTGCCCTCTGTGCGCTCGCTGCGCAGGCCAAACCAAACAATTCGTACCTCAAAATGTTGGCCATGCCGCCGGCGGAGGATCCCTGCTACGATTACGACAAGGCTCGCCATTGCATACCCGACTTTGTAAATGCCGCCTACGATGCGCCCATTACGGCCAGCAGCACTTGCGGTGAACGCCAGCCGCAACGCTACTGCGAGTATCCGTTGCAAGCAGTTGGTGGCGCCAGCGAGCAGCTACTGTCATGCCACACCTGTGAGGCAAACAGCTTCTCGCCGCGCGCCCTCACCGATCTGAACAACTCGAATAATGTCACCTGCTGGCGATCAGCACCAATTCAACAGCCCTCGTCGAGTGCATCGGGTGGCGATAATGTCACCCTGACCCTGTCGCTGGGCAAGAAATACGAGCTGACCTATGTGAGTCTGCAGTTTTGTCCGCGTGCCCCCCGCCCCGACTCTCTGGTCATCTACAAGAGCTCGGACTATGGCCACAGCTGGCAGCCGTTTCAATATTATAGCTCTCAGTGCAAGAGGATGTTTGGACGACACAGTCGCACCATTATCACCAAGCACAATGAGCAGGAGCCACGCTGCAGCGATGCCCATCGCAATCATGGACATCATGATGTGGGACTCGCCTCGAGGATTGCGTTCAGCACACTGGAGGGCAGACCCTCGGCCCGAGATCTGGATGGATCGCCGGTGCTGCAGGATTGGGTGACCGCAACCGATATACGCATTGTCTTCCATCGGCTCCAGCAGCCCGATCTCCAGCAGGCCCTGCTCGCCATCGATGCGCCCGCGGATCTGCGCACCGGCAAATATAGCGTTCAATTGGGTGGCAACAATCTGGAGTCCACATCTGTCTCGGCTGTTGCTGCTGGGGCTGGATTGCATTATGCCGTCTCTGACTTTTCGGTGGGTGGGCGCTGCAAGTGCAACGGACACGCCTCCAAGTGCTCGCTGGACTCGAGGGGGCAGCTGAGCTGCGAGTGTCGCCACAATACAGCTGGACGGGATTGCGAGCGATGCAAGCCCTTCTACTTTGATCGGCCCTGGGGTAGAGCAACAGCTCGGGATGCCAACGAGTGCAAAGGTGAGTACTCCCCAAACACACATACATATCCTAAATACGTATCCATACACTGAGAAATATTTTTCGATACTAAAAATCTGTGTGATTCGTGCATAAATCGAGTTGCCCAAATCGAGTCACAGACAAAGCTAAGAGTATTCAAATAATAAATATAGTTATAATAATAAATTGGCAGCAGTTTCATTTTGCATCTTCGAGAAAATACTTGTAAATCGAGTTACTGATTCGGTTTGTAGTAGAACAAGAATACTAAAAATATCTAATAATAATTTAGCACTATTTTTAATTCACCAATTGAAGAAATCACTTCAGTTAATTTTGCTCTAAATCTGTGCCAATTGATTTATTTACGAAAAAAAAGATAAAACTAAAAGACAGATTTTTTTAACTGCGGCTATTTCTTTTCTATATATATTTTTGGCTCAACTTTAGTTATTCTTAACTCTCTTTAAGTAACATTTTCAGTTAATTTTCCGTGCTTCACTGGACAGTGTAAAATATATTTAAGCAAGCAAAATATATTTTATTGAATTTAATTTCTATTCAAATGCAAAATGCACTAATACGTTTATATATACTTACTGATATATAAATATATATATGCATATATTATGTAAGTACAATTTATTTAGTCACAGCGCTTTTCAGATTATTTTATGTTAAGCCTTAAGTTTCGCTTGTTTTTATCTGGAGAGAGCAGTTTTATATTGCGATATATAAATTATGCTTGAAAGGCAATTTTCTTTTAAGTGTATGCAAATATGACAGACAATGATTTTCTTTTGAAATGTTTAAATAACTTTTATAAATATAGCTTATATAATTTGTTACCCGTTTGATCTATCAAGTCTTGTCAAAACGATTAATGTATGTATGTCTTAGCTCAGTTTAAGTTTCAGTTTAAAGACTCCTTAAAAAGAACGAAAACACAAAACCAAATAAAAGTCACGACCAGCAGCAGGAATAAGTCCTGCCATTTGCAAAGCATACAAGGCGAGGGGATGCTGAGCCGTCTGATGTATGTGTCTATGTGCTAGGAGGGTGTGTGTGGGGAGGGGCACTTCTAAGCAGGGGTACGGCTTAAACGACTCAATTTCAATCCGAACGACGACGCTCGCCAGTCGCGTGTGTTTAGTTTTCGTCTTAAAAATTGGTGATGGCATTTCAACTGCTTGCTGCATGGGGTTGCATCACTCACCGGGCAGGCAGGGGCAGGTTGCTCATTTATGCTATTTTTCTGTTTTGCTGTTTGTCTTGGACGCAACATGCTAGCTGCGTGGAAGGGGAGGGGGCGGGGAGCGTATATTTGTGCTGCGGATTTGGCTTAGCCATAATTGAACAACTCGGGACACGTGTAGCGGGAGAGCGAATAAGAGCGAGAGAGAGAGAGAGAGAGAGAGAGAGAGTTAGCGTTTTCAATCAATTTGCAACTCTTGCAGCAACCCTCGCCACTCAGCACTCGAGTCCAAACAACAAACAGCAAATAAACAAGCAAACATGCAATCAATGTCAAATAGCTGAAGAAACTTAAAATGAGAGAATTGCAATGCAAAATGGTGTGAGGAGTCTGACAGAGAGAGACAGTGAGAGAGAGAGAGAGAGGGATCGGGTGGGTTATATTGAAGTTGGGGTTAGGCGAGCAATACTCATATGTGGCTTGCGGATAAACCCTCGCAATTAACCCTCTAAACGGAGCAAGCTGAACTCGAACAATAAACACGAATTTAAGCGAAATTAATTTGATAAGCATTTTGAAAAGAGTCCGAATCCAAATCCAAATCCGTATCCGAATCCGAGTCGAGTATCGAACTGTGACACAAAGGGGGCGAATAGACATAACTACACTGAGAGAGAATGTGCGTGCCTGCACTTCGAAGAAAAATACAAATTACAATGAAAATCGACCAAAGGACCAAAAATGGGTTGTTTTGGTTTCTATAAATAAATTCAGAAGATTTTGTATACGCTCTAACTGAAAGTATTCGTTTGTGTCCACGTCAGACGAAGTTCAAATTTTAAAGCTAGATTTCCCAAATTTTGTTAGTAGATTGCTAAGAATTTTTATGGTCACGACCCAAAACTGATATACCCGGCAGTGTAAATTGATACAAGCATATAACTCACACAATTTGAGAACTAGAGTCACCCAATTTAAAGGGCAAATGATAATGGCAAATGGCAATACAAATTCACCCATTACAAATATATAATAATTTTGTCCACTCGCATAAAAATATGTGAATTAATTTCAGCAGTTTTAAAAATGTTTATATTTACTTATTTCTTGAATTATTATTATTTTTTTTTAATGAATATTGATAATTATTTTTGAAGCTTAGTTGTCACTGGCAACACTTTTTTCTCCGTGTGGTTAATTTAAAGGGAGGGTTTCAATTTCATATTTGTTTTTCTTCCTCGCAAATTTGGAATTAATTTTCTTATTTATTTATTTTTTTGTTATTTTGGCACGATCCATTGCAGGGCTCCCCAGGCTCTCTCTCCCTCTCTCTCGCTCTCTCTCTTTGTCTCTGTCCCTCACACTGAATGGTTTTTAGTATGCTGGCCTTGTAAACGATGTGTCAATGTTTTTGTGGCACTTGCTGCAAGTGGCATGTACGATGCGCGTCTCGCGTGGATGCCACATGCCAAACATGCCACAGCAGCAACAGCAACAATGAGATAAGAATTGCATTTTTTTGTTTTGTTTTTGCTGCGCGGCCAAAAGGGGCGCGACCGGGAGGCAAGGCGACTAGAGTCGAGCCGAGCCGTTGCTTAGTGCATAAATCACAGTGTGGCACGGTATTGTCCAGGCAAACAGAACAAACCAAAGGCAAAGGCAGGCAGGCAGGCAGGCCAACGGGAAGGCGGAAAGGCGGGAAGGCAGGCAGGCTGGCAAGCGGGCGTTTGTTATCAGAGGCAGGCCACGTGTGGCAGCAACCGCGCTGCGCTTTATTAGGGTTGCAAATGCAGTGCGACCCTTCCACATGCACCACACACTTACACACACAGAGGGAACACACGCCTGCCCCTTTGCACACATCGCATATGTTGCATGTTTATGGGCAAACGAAATTAACGCTGCCAACTTTTGCTTTTGACGTTCAATGTGACCTCAACAACAGCAACAACTGCTGGCAATTACAACCAACAACAACAAGGGCAACTGGCAAAAATATAACAACAAAAAAACCAAAGAAAATTGGAAAATTTTTGCCATGTGACCGGCATATGAAAACGGGCCTGATTCTTGCACATAATGAGTCTTTGTACGAGTGTGTGTGTGTGTGTGTAATTACTATTAGCAATAACTAATAACAACTTATGCCCAACGATGCGATTGGATTTGCATGTCTGTAGTAAGAAAGGCAAAGATCCCGCATCGATTTCAATTAAGCAAACATTATCCGATGACCATGTTGAGATTATGTAAGTGAGAATTTACCTAGAAACTTGCATTGATGTTTGGGTTTTTTTTTTCTTCCTTGGATACCCTTTCGGGGAGTATTATAATTGAGTTGTGAAATTTGCAACGCACTTAAGGGGGAGAGAGAGAGAGGAAGGAGAAGTAAATGTATATATTCTTGATCAGTATCACTACCCGCTCTAATCACTACTAATATAAATGAATTCATTTAGAATATGTTGTCTAAAAGTCTAAAAACAACAATTAATTGATTTATTGATTGCAATCAAAGTGTATCGCAATTTGTGTGATTTAATTTGATGGTTTTCGGCAATACACTTCTAGAATCTTTGTACAACTGTCTTTGATCGCATATCATAAGGCTGTCATAGAACTACTACAATCATAGTCAAATCTGAACTGAAACCGTAAATCGAAATAAGTAATCAAGTAATTAAAGAAACAGAAGCTGCAACTGATATAATTATTAAACAAAACTGAATGCCAACAATAATTTGGGAAGTATGCATCATTTTGAACGGAATATTTAGAATTTGCCTAGCAGAAATTCACTTTGGTTTGCCTTCCTGTTTATAATTCAAAGTGTTACTTGTTTTAACCTGAACGCATTAGAAATTGCCACTTGCAAATCTGCTTAAATTTGAGTGTGCAAAGTTTAAACGGAAATCGGGCAGTGAGACTAGAATAATATATTTAACAGATGGGCTTAGAGTATATCGTAGTCGAGCTCATTGTATTAGTATCAATATAATAATATATAATATAAAAAGCTGACCTGCCAATGGCTGATTGGAAATAACTTATTAGTGCTACAGCTCTCTCTCTCTCTCTCTCTCTCTCTTTCTCTCTGCGTCTCTCTTTCTCCACTCTCTTAAGTTATTGCAAAGCTCACCTTTCGCAACTTTGACCTTTGTTGCCGCTGTCCACTGATCAACTGATAGCCCAAAAGCGGTGTGAAGCTGCAGACCCAATCAAAGGCACATTAACAGCACTTTATCATAATTAAAATGCAAGCCATGGCCTTACCCTCCCCTATCTGCCTCCCATATACAGACACACACACAGCAGCCCCCTTCTGATATGCCCCCATTGTGGGCGCTAAAAATATTTGCAACAGTGGAGAAGAGCTCGCAATGATTTTCAAATATGTAGTTGATGGCAACTAAAAAGCAATGAAACAACAACAACAACAACAACAACGACAACTACAAGAAGAAACAGCAACAATCTAAAATAAACGACTTGTGTTTGGTTTGAGTTGAATTCAGTTCAGTTTGGGTTGCAGCGGCAGCAATAAATTAATTTAAAACTTAAGCCGTTGGCAAATCAAAACATTACTCATACGCCGTGTGGTTGGCGCTGGCCAAAAATAGTTTTTATCCACACTGACAGACTTCGCCGTCCCCGCACACCTCCCCCTGACATGCCCCTTGTGCTGACGTATCTCTGATGCGACGCTTTAATGCTAAACGCGTCATGATAAATGTGGCGACGCTTTCAGCCAAATGCCGTGCAAATTAGCCAAACAATTTGTCCAATCAAATGAGCCAAAGCGACCGCTCAGCTATTTGACAAA